TGTCTCGGGAAAACATAGTTTCACTTGACCAGAAAAGTAAAAGGAAGCTGAGTGAGCCCATGGTTCTGTTTCTCTATCTATGAAGTAACTATAATGATAAAACCTACTCTTTGGGTTTTTATGAGGATTAAATGAGAACATTCATGCAAAGTAGTTAGCATTGGGCCTGATCCATGGTGAGTACTCAAAATATTTTCATTATTATTATTTTCAGAAAGATATGTGAATTGTCTTGAAATCCAGCCCTAGGATTAATAATATAATTTTAATATTGTATTGTGGTTTGTTAGCAACATTGTAGCTAAAACAAAAAATAGTCTTGCTGGGCAGGGTGGCTCATGCCTGTAATCCCAGCACTATGGGAGGCCGAGGCGGGTGGATCACGAGGTCAAGAGATTGAGACCATCCTGGCCAGCATGGTGAAACCCCATCTCTACTAAAAATACAAAAATTAGCTAGGCATGGTGACGTGTGCCTGAGGAACTATTCAGGAGGCTGAGGAAGGAGAATCATTTGAACCCAGGAGGCGGAGGTTGCAGTGAGCAGAGATTGCGCCACTGCACTCTAGCCCGGTGACAGAACAGAACTTCCTCTCAAAAACAAACAACAAAAAAGTCTTTTTATAATGACTTTCTCCCTCTCTCTCTTTGTTTCTCCTTCCTTCTCTCTGTCTTCCTTCCCACATTTGCACTCATACACAGACCTTTTATGTGCTATTGTAGTGCAGTAAGGAAATAGAGGACACTATCTCTACCATCAAGGAACTAACAGTCTAAACACAGAGATATAAATACATGTATTCAACGCTGTCTGTAAAAATATGTTATTTATGGACTGAATAAGTAGCATATGCTAGGAGAAAGTGTTTTGAATCATCTTCAAATATTAAACATAAGGAGAATAACAAAGGAAGTCCCAATGCATTTCAAAGAATCGTTTTCATAATAACTCTCTCCAAAACAACTTAAAAATCAAGAGTAAAACTATTAATGTATTTGAAAACTAAATTTACTTTGAAACTTAACAGTTCTAGACAATTCATGGATTAATAGGCAATGAAAATTATAGGGAATTTAAAAACTGAAGGACAATGAAAAGAATAAGTATCCAAGCTATCCAATGCAATTTAAGCAATATTCAGAAGAAAGAAAAAGACTTAAATGAACTTGGTATTTAACTCAAGGAGTTGTAAAAAATAATACCAGGGTAAACCCAAAGAAATTAGGAAGAAGAAAATAAAAAAAGCGAGGACTGGAAATAAATGAAATTGAAAACAAAACAGATAAAAGAGGGAGATGGTAAAAAAAAATAAAAGTGGACTCTGAAAACTCCAATAAAATGAACAAATCTATAGCAACACTAATCAAGAAGGAAAAAATGCAAATAAATACTATGGGAAGGCAAAAGGAGGCACATCCACAGATTTATAACAGAGATTACAATCACCAGAAGAAAACACTATTATCAGTTGTAGGCCCATATATTTGGAAATGTATAATGTAGCAGACACAGCTAATTGCTGCACCTGCTATGGTATGCTATGCTATACTATGCTATGCTAAAACATGGTATGTGATGATTACACAACCCTAAGATCTCAGGTGGCTTACAGATCACAAATGTTTCTTTCTCATTCATGTTGCAGGTTAAGTGTGGGTGTGGGTGAGGTCCTCTGCTCCAAGCCATGCAGTGACTTAGTGATGCAGGTTGATGGAAGAGCCAACATCTCCACATGTTCTTCTGGGGTCTTTGCAAGCTGGAGCATGTCAACAGGGAAAAAGAGAAAAGCAAAAAGAAAATCTAGGCTGCCAAACTTTTTGTGGGGAGCTTTTTATGGGAAGAAAATCATGAAAACTTAAGACTTACTCAGCTTTATATTCTCCTACCTCTTGCTTTCTTTTTCTTGTCAGATTAATTTCACTCATACACCTCTTCCCTCTCTGTCATACCAGATCAGTTCTGGTTAGAAGAATGAAAACAACAGCTAAGTGGTGTGAGCTGACTAGCACAGAGAAAGAAGCTAAAATTGACCACTCAGGAAATGAGGCATGTATTAATAATTTTCTTTTGACTCATTGTTTATAAAAACATCCACATGTAATTAACTGTTGTCTAGAAGACAAAATAATATTCCTAAAAAGGAAAAAGGAGGCACTAGACTTGTTTCATTCTACATTAGGAACGGTACTAACATTTATTGGGTACTTACTATATGCCTGACATTTTACTAGGAACGTTTCATACTCTGCCTCATCAAGTGACCTTGCTTGCCCTTTGAATGAAACGTTAACTCCTTTCCAAGGTGTATGTTCTGATCTCCCTCTCTGAAATCCCCACCCTCCCCATCTCTGCTGCACAGATGGGCCTTTGAATTCTGGCCTTTTTTTTTTCCTGTTTATGAAACACACCCAGCATATTCCTGCCTCAGGGCTTCTGCTCTTGTCATTCTCTTTGCCTGGAATCCTCTTTTCTTGGATCTTCTCATGTTTGATTTCTTTACCTCAATCAGACCTCCACAAAAATATCCTCTCTTCAGAGAGCCTCTGTAACCCTCCTGCTAGGTTAGTGCAAAAGTAATCATGGTTTTTGTCATTAAAAGTAATTGCAAACAAAAACCATGATTACTTTTGCACCAACCTTATATCTACAATAGCAACTCTTCCTCTACCAATAGTTTTCTATTCCAGTCACTTATTTTTCCCCACTGCATTTAAGAGTATCTAAAATTGTCTCATTGTATTTGTTTTAATGTGATTTTGATTTTTTCCTCTCTGTCTTGTTTATTGCTGTATCTCAAAAATCCCACTTGATTTTTCCTGTCTTGTTCATTGCTGGATCTCAAACATCTAGAAGAGTGGCTGGCACTTAAAAAAATAGATTGGGGGTACAAGTGCATTTTTGCTACACGGATATATTGGGTGGTGGTGAAGTCTGGACATTTAGTGTAACCATCACCCAAATCATGTACATTGTACCCAACAGGTAATTTCTCATGGCTGGAGCTCCTAAGGTGATATTTAATAGAGCTTGTTGAAATAATTGATAAATAACATAATCTATAACATTATAAGGCAGAATGCACACCATGAGGAACCATGAGGTATCTCAATAAGTGAGTCTTAGAAAAGAACTTACAGTATTTAGGTTCATAATAGGTGATTTTGTTTGGGATTTAAGGGAGCAGGACTTTTTTTTTCTGCATTGGATATTGTCAGGAAGCAGGGACAATTCTATGATTGGAGATTCTTAATGAACCTCACCTCTAAGGCAGGAAGATGAGAACAGGGCTAAAACCATAACTGGTAAAGCAGCAGCAGTCATTCATATCAGGCAGGATGGGGAGATGTTCGGTGTCTTGGGGGTTTGCACAATGACCTTGTTTTGTCAGCACTTAGACAAGATTACTGAGTGGCCTTGTTTTTTGTCTCATTTCACAATTTATAGAGTGGCCTTGTGCGAGACCAGTGTTCTGTACAACTGTGATTAATAGGAGAATGCAAAGGCCCAGCTGGGAGTGTCACAACTTCCAGACCAGTTTCTAGGTGTCAAGGTCCGTTTTCTGCCTCTTACAAGTGTCCTAGGGCTGGTGTCTAGCGTCAGCACAGAAATAAGTAGGGGTATATCTTTTGGCTACTTGATAGTCCCCTTTTCCCCAATTCTGGATTTGTATTAGGATGGACACTGAACGAAGACAGCACAGGCCAAGGTAGAGAAGCAGTACTTCTAGAAGTCAACTCAAAAATGCCTTTATCCACGAATTAATTATCCTCTCAGCACATGGTGAGCATAGCTAATTTGCAAATGGAGAATGCTGTGTATTTTGCATCCTGAATGACAGAACCCACCATTGCCTCAAAGGTCACGTTCAAAACTGCCAAGTCCTTGATTCTGGTCCAAATTTTTATCTAAACACAACAGTATGGTTTCAAGAAAGTCTTTTAACCAGCATCCCAGCATCCTCTGGGATTCTATAGCACCTGTTTCCTCTGTTAACATCCCAGCTATATTGTAATTAATTTATTGTAATCCATCTGTCTGGTTAAACTGGCTCCCACATGTCTGTATCACTGGAACTTAACAAAGGACTTGGCACAGGCTAGGCTCCCTACAAATATTAAGTGAATTTAAAATGGATCTTTAATTCCTGGCTTGGATTCACCTCACGAAACATTTATTGAGTCTGTATTACAAGCCAGGAGGATGCTATGAAAAATCAGAGAGTCTTTCCCTTTAAGAAATTTGTAGTCACTTCTAGTAGAGTTAATAATAATAATGATAATAGCTGATATTTACTGAGGATAGGGAACTTTGTAAGGTACTTTATATGTACCCGAGTTATTGTCATTTTACAGGTGAAACAATGGATGTACCGATGGGTTAAGTTACTTTCCTGAGGTTCACAGAGCTATCAAGGGGCAGAACGAAGACTGTCACCCAGACAGTCTGACTGCAATAACACTGGCCCAACTATCAGGTTGAAACTGACAGCACCGTGTCCATCCATAATTCTCTCATTTAGCAGAGAGGAGGTCCTGAATCCAAGTTATAGAAATCGTGGCAGACATTTGTTTTAAAGAGGAATAGGTTAATATGACCAGTCTGGGGAAGAACTTATTTTCTTTGCCAGTCAGCGCGGATGGGAAACAGCTGCGTTAGCCTTCTGTTAAAGCAGCAGGGGATTTCGGTTTTGACTTCAGACCTGAACATCATTCAGTCAATAGCATTTATTGGGCGTCCACTGTGAGGAAAACAGGAGCCCCCTGCTACTTCCTCTCCTCCCCACATCCTGGGGCAGGGAGGGGAAGTGAGGGAAGAAAAGCAAAGCAAAGGCAAGGAGGATGCGGAGGGTGGGCAGGTAGGCACCCCCGCCCCACCAGCACCGGCCACGCCCTCGCCCCGAGCCTAATTTAAACTCCCGCCCCTCGTAACGACGGCCAATGGCCGATGGTGAAGCGCGCAGGAAAGTAGGGATTGGCCGGCGCCGCGGTTGCCGGGGCAACGGGTGGGCCTGGCGGGTCCCCGGGCGGGGCGGGGCGGGGGCGAGGGGTGCTGGGTGGTTTCCGCCACGCAGCCCGCAGCCAGCCGCGCCCAGGCGGGCGCCCCCCGGCGGCGCAGGGGGCGGCCACCACTCAGTCCTCAGCCCAGAGCAGCCCAGTCAGCCTCCCGCTCGGGAGGCGCCGCCCTCCGTCTGGGTCTCCGCCTCCAGGACCCGCGGCTGAGAGCTCTGGAGCGCAGCTTCCCCGGCCGGCGGCGCGATGGGCTGCGGGAACTCCACCGCCACCAGCGCGGGCGCGGGCCGAGGTGAGCGCGGTGGGCGGCAGGAGCCAGCGGGGGCGGCCGGGAGAGGCGGCGGGAAGGAAGGGTGCGGGTATGTGGGGTGGGGGGCGCGCAGCCCCTCTCCCCATCCCCATTTTCGGGACAGGAGCAGACCGCTCGTTTCTGGAAAGACCAAAAGCGTGTCAAGTCCCCCGCGCGGGGGCGGTAGCGCCTGGAGCAGGCGAGCCTGCGGGGCATCTCTGCTTAGGGAGCGCTGGGAGGACTGTGGCGGGTTCCCCTGCCACCGGCGGGGCTCGGCGCCCTCCTGGGGGAGAGGATTCCAGGAGGTGGCCCCCGGCCGGTCCCCCGCCTCCCACAGTTGCTCCTCCAGGCCTCTTCCCCACCTCCTCGGAATCCAAGCGCTGCACCTGGAAAAGTGCAGCGCAAGACAGGACTTTTAGGACAGTGGTGGTGGGGCAGGAAGCGGGGAAAAGGTGGGAGTGGGGTTGGGGAGAACTAGAAGCATAGATGCAAAAACGCATCCGTGTCAGTCTCGATGCCTAAGACCGCCTGGGATGCTCTTAGGATTTCTTTGAGAAGCTGCAGCAGTAAAGATGTTTTACATATGTGAGACAGTCTGTTATTAACAGTCAGTTAAGATACTTTTCATTTAAACACACACACATACACAGATAGATCGAAACTTTTTATATCACTTCATTTTGTTGATTGGCAGGCCAGGTTTTCTAGCTTTCCCGGGCCAGCCAGGCTTTGTGTCAAGTGACTTTTTCCAAAACTCACCCTTCTGTTTCTTCTGTCTCTGGATTTAAGGTAGCCTGGATCTGTTTTGAGTAATATCTGCTGACCTATTTCAGTGTCCTTTTGGATAAAGGGTTCCTATCTCCTCCAATTGAGATCGATCAGATGCCACATCCTAGCCTAACCAGCAAATGAAACAGCAGTCGGAGGCTGCAGTATTTCCTAGGTGGCTGTGGAGGCCCTGGCAATGACTTTGTAACCTTGGGCCTGTCACATCCTTTAACCCAGACGCCGGTTAAAAAAAAAATAGTTTAAGACTCAAGACTTACTTATTTACGTTGCAGTTTCTTTTAACGTTCACGTAATGGAATTGGATGTGGGCATCTACTCAATTACTTGGCCAAGTTTGTTTTTCCTCCTTGGCTGTCGTTGCCACACATCAGGAATATTCCACTTCAAGAGAAGGGGCTAACATGTATGCAATTCTAGTCCTAGAGATATGAATGAACCCAGGTAGCTATGCATTGAAAAATGTATGACTTACAGTTAACCTTTACCATCTTGAGTTAAATCCTGTCCTGGTGATATACAGAGAGCCACAGGAAAGCAAGTTTTTTAGATTCATGTAACAGTGGGGAAGGTTAGCTTATGCCTTACGCTATGCCACCGCCCCTGGCTCCCATTTTGATTTATTAATGTATTCCTTGTCAGTTTTAGGGATGAGGGGGTTACCATTACCAAATGAAAATCAGAATGCTGGACCAGGCGTGGTGGCTCACACCTGTAATCCCAGCACTTTGGGAGGCCGAGGTGGGTGGATCACCTGAGGTCAGCAGTTCGAGATCAGCCTGACCAATATGGTGAAACCCAATCTCTACTAAAAATACAAAATTAGCTGGGTGTGGTGGCGCCTGCATGTAATCCTAGCTACATGGGAGGCTGAGGCATGAGAACTGCTTGAACCTGGGAGGCAAGGGTTGCAGTGAGCTGAAATCACACCATTGCACTCCAGCCTGGGCAACAAGAGTGAAACTCTGATTCCTCTCAAAAAAAAAAAAAAAAAAAAAAAAAAAAAAAGGAAATAGAATGATGGTAAGGTCTGATGAGCTAGCTCTAAAATGTAAAGATCAGATTTTGGGGGAAAATATGATTTCTTGGAGAACTATTCTCTTTAATAATATTTGATTGACTTTTTTTTATTTCCCTAGGAGCACATCCCTTATCACCTAAAGGGAAGTAATATTGGAAAAAAAAAAATACTCAGAGTAGTTTGAGGAGCAGCTTCACTTTCGTTTGTGAAGGACAGTGCATGTGAGAGCATGGTATTCTCTCCTCCAGCTTGCTCTTTGCCAAAAATTACTTTTTGTTCAGAGGAGAGCAAGATAGTGAGTGCAGACTCAAATCATGCAGGACACAACATGATGAGCAGAGAGTTATCGCATCACCTCTTTGATGGATCTGTGCTTGTCTTGGAGAAGCCATTCCCAAACATTTCCCTGCCTGTGCGTCCAGCTGGCTGACTTTGGGAATTGGTCATTGTTATTTTGAAATGTTCTGTCAGTTGGTGGTAGGAATTTAGTTTCAGAGAGGAAATGCATCGGAATGAGAGATGTAAGGTTAAGAAAAATAAACCACAATGCAAAGGCACTGAAAATCTCTTTCAGCTGTGAGCTTGGACATCAGCGCCAACTACACTGTTGACCAAGCTGCACACTTGGAGGACTGAACTCAGCAATACGAAATGCATTAAAGAGACGTTGTCCCTTTCTTCTAACTACTCACAGTGCACATCTTCCCGTATGTCCCAGGAGTCATACAATTCAATAGCCAAACTTAAACTTTTCAGAAAAAAAGTGTACAAAGAGATTGCGGAAAGAGTGTTGAACTTAAGCGTCTGGACAGTGAACTTAAGCTTGGGTTTGGTGCTGTGCTGATTGCATTATAGTGTGTGTTTCATGTTACTTTTTGGAACTTTGGTTTCTTTGTTTATATAATGGGAATAATTGGGTGTATCTTGTTTCATAAGGCTACAAAAACTCAAAAATAACATGAAAGCACTCTGTAAACTGTAATTATTACTATATAATAATAGTATTATTATCACCATTTTGAAGGCAAAGTAGTTTTCCTTGAGTATTTTTCTATAAAAACATGGCAAATCTTTTTTCGTGCATTGACATATTATTACAATGCCCCTAAATTTTAACTCTCCATTGTAAGCCCTGTTTTACTTCTTGAGGGGAAACAAAATAATTGTTTCCCCTTTCCCTGAGCTGTCAGGACAGCTGGCTGTCTTGGCTTTTGTCTGGGGACTCCATTAACAGGACAGATTGATATGCAGTAGTGTACTTGAGTTAAGTGAATTCCGTTTGCTTGATGTGTGGAGAAACTGGTATGGAGTACAATGGTCGAGTGGCCATAAGGAGTAGTGAGATGGATCAATCCCTTGATAATTCTGGGAAGACTTGCCCCTGGAGTATGTTTCTATTAATAACTGTAAGCATATGTATCTTCCACCCCTACGTGGGACCTCCTCTGCTAGGAACTTCTAGGGCAAGGGTGGGGACAGTCAGCAATGGATGTTTGTAGAATGAAGTCAAACTGTTGCTCTTGAGAAATTGATAGTCTAGGTAGGAAGATTAAGCAATCGAGAATCATTGCAAAGCAGTGTATAATAGAATATAACCTGGACATCCAATTTTTCAGGAGGTGTTGAATGACACAGTTTAATCAAAGAAGTCCTCCTGGAGGAGTTGAGCTATCAGCCTAGATGGACTTGTGAGAGGCATTTTGAGTACCCAGAAGCTCTCCACTTTCACATTTTGATAGGATCACTCTCTCAAGGTGGGAATTTGATTTTTCCTAACCTACAACTATATTGAGGATTCAGTATATTTTTTTCTGCATAGAGTCTAGACCCCAAATTATAGAGAAACAGCTGGATAGAATAGTTCATTTTAAAGTGTAGCATTTATTACAAGGCAGGGAGCTTTGCACTCTTGCTCACTCTCACTTTCTTTCTCTGCAATCAGATTCTCTACTTGCTTGTTTTTTCCCCCAGCATACCTCCTGACTAGGCAGAGAAATGAGCAACCTTGCATTTTGAGTTAATGGTGTACAGCAGATCAGTCATTCCTTTTATACAGTTTCATACATATAGACTATGAAGCAAGTCTCTGTAATATAAATCAGAAATTCCTTTTTATGTAAACCAGAAAAATCCCTTCAAAGTTTTAGATAGTTCCCCCATCTACAATAGCCTATTTTAATGCAGCCTAAAGCTGTAGAAATTATTTGCAGCAGCAGTAATATTTGGCTCATGATATTTGGTTAAATTGGTTAGTTGAATTTTTTTCTGCCAGAGATATGTAATTGGCAACTGATCTTAACTTCACAGGCAATTTATTGTCAGAATGTTTCCATCATCGTTTTTTCTGCTGTTTATGTAACAATAGTCTGAGGAGGAGGAGCTTGATAATTATTTACCCTGTTTTATCAGTGTACCCAGAAAGTTAATACAATCCTTTTGGGTCCAATTATTTAGATTAATTATGTCCTTGTCCTCAATTAGCTAGATAATTGCATTCTTTTGAGGTAGCTATATTGGTCCAGCCTTAATTTACATCTTTAAATGGTCTGGTAGGTATTGAAATGATGCAACTGTTCTTAGCATTAGTCCCACATTTGTGGGGGAAATAATTTAAAAATAATATAAAATTTTGTTGATATCATCCAACGTTTTTATCTTGCACTACTCCCCTTTCCCACAACTATGTACCATTCTTCTTTCTGTCTTCACACATGCTGAACTCACTCTTGTTTTCTCTCTGTTTGAAACACGTTTTTGCTGGAGAGCTGATAGTATGTTTATTTCTTGCCTTTTTCTTTCCCCTCTCCCAACGGAGGCCTCATGAAAGCCTATACATTTTGTTTACAGCTGTATCCTCAGCATCTAGACCAGCTTTCACAATTTTAATGGGTTTTTTGGGCCTTGAAATATATTTGTTGAATGAATGAGTATATTCGGGAAACAAAAAAGATATAAAATGAAGTTCTAAGTTGGTGTGGGCACACTGTACTGATGTAGTAATTGAGGGAAGAGAATAAAACCTCAGGAAGTCAGGGAAACCTTTGTGGAGGAAGTGGAACTTTATTTGGCCTTGAAGAATAGTGTGGAGGAAGTGGAAGTTTGTTTGGCTTTGAAGAATAGCATGAAGGAAGTAGAACTTTATTTGGCTTTGAAAAATAGGTAAGAGTTGGATAGCAGAAAATGGAAGGCAGTTCAT